AGTTACATTTCAAGGCTAAATTTTCGCATACTATGATATGGAAATATGTAATACTAGCAGAACCCGCGATTTCGCTCGCGCTAAACTACAAAATTTTTTTTTAAAATGTCATACCGACACGGATACTTTAAGCGCCCGCCATTTGGCGCGCTTGGCGTGACGTCACAGTATGATATATAGAGAAATTACCAGAATCCATCTATCTATACATATAATAAAATTCTAACTGAGTCGAATCTGTATATTAAATATTTTTTGGAAAATCTTATTGAAACGGACATTTTAATCGATACAGAGGCCAAATTTGTAGTTTTTAGAATTTTTGTCTGTCTGTCTGTCTGTCCGCATCACAGTAAAACCACTGGAGGGATTTTGATGAAATTTGGTATGGTGATAGCTGGTTATCCGGGTCAACATATAGGATACTTTTTACCGCAGAAAAATATCTCATTATTGAGAAAAAATACAAAAACTGCAATGTAAGAGTATACTAATATGTAAAACCTAAGAATTTGGTTTTTGGCCAACTGAACGCGGGCGGAGCCGCGGGAAATGCTAGTATAATATAAAAATAAAATATTTCTTACTTGGATATCGACGTAGATAAAGACATATTCGACTTAACAGTGGAGACGTCAGAATTAAAATACGAAGAAGACGAGGCCATATAAGATTTTACACTTGTCGTGTTTTTACACTTGATTTCTTCATTCGCGCAGGAAGATTCATCTTTGAAGTAATAATCGGTTCGATGCTTCATTTTTGTTGTCTATGTAAGAAAAATTAATGAAAAAGTTTACTTTTTAAAACACATTTTTTGTTTCCATTTTCACGTTTATATTATGATTTTTTGTTCCGACGTTTTGAATGAATAAATATGAGGAAAATTGTCCCGTGACCATGATTCAAAGTCCCCTTAAAAAATCCATGATTGGTCCCCTTAAAAGAAATGTTTATTTAAAATGCCAAATATTTACAAATTAAATTAAATCTATTTTTTTTCAAGAAACTTATTTTATCTATAACGCCTGAACAAAAATTGATGCAATTTGATTAATGTTAAAATTAAAAATTGCTATAAAATTAAGTTTCACCTTTGGGCTACATAGTAATGAAGCAACAAACTCTAACTCAAAACCTTTCGCATTGATAATAATAGACTGAAGGGTGATTTAGCGTTTTTAGGGATGGTAATTGGTGAAAAACGTTCATTACGAACCTATAAAATTTATTAAAAAAACACGTAGAATCATTTGTATAATCAATCGGGTGTTCCCCCTAAACAGGTAGCAATGACACAACCACAAGATTTTTATGAGTCCCTCCCAAACAGACGGTAATCCAAGGTAAGAAAAGAATTAAAATTCTTATATATTTTAAAGGGTTTTATCGGATTGGGGTTGACACCCGTTAAAAATACAAGAATTTTGATTATGGGGTGTCACCCCCCATCCGATGATACCCGGGGTCTATCATCCTCCTCTAGCTACGTCACCTTATCTTTACATCTATATAGATAAATAAAATTGAAGTGTCTGTTTGTAATGTCAAAATAACAGCTTTTTACTAAATTCATATGTAATATATACAGTATTTATAAAAAAACTCAATTTTTAAAAAAATAGTCTGTCTGTCTGTTTGTTTGTTTGTTCCGGCTAATCTCCGAAACGGCTGGGCCGATTTTGACAGAACTTTTACTGGCAGGTAGTTGATCTTATAAGGAGTAACTTAGGCTACTTTTATTTCAGTAAAAGAATTATAGTTCCGCTCAAAAAAATTAAAATGTACCTAAAAACAAACAAAATAGATTAATTTTGAGACAGCTCGAATATAAATGTTAGATGCTGTTTAAAATGTCGGCCAAAGATTATTTTGTAATATAGAAGCACTAGGTAGGTACGTTTTAACAACAGTTAGTATGGAATATGTAGAATATATATTATATTACTGCTCTGCTCCTTTAGATAGTAGCATGATGATATATAGCATTATAGCCTTCCTCAATAAACGGGCTATCTAATGCAAAAACAATTTTTCAAATGGGATTAGCAGTTCCTGAGATTAGCGTGTTCAAACAAACAAACAATCAAACAAACAAACTCTGCCTCTTTATAATGTTAAGTATAGATAATCATTAAATTAAATTAGATCAATTCTTTAATTACTTACTTTATTGATTATTTTTTCTTTTTTTATGTTTTGCAATAATGTTTTATTACTTACATTTCACTTAAGATTTTTATTTAAGAATTACATGATACAGTAAATATAGCATTGACAGGTGAGATATAGTAAATAAAAAAGGTTATAAAATAAATAAAACCTGTTTTAAACAAAACTTAAAGTTTACACCATAGACGTAGGTCGTAGCGTAGGGATAAATAGACTGAGCAAAACTGTCATGAAATTGACCACTCTCTAGAAAGAGAGAAATCGAACGTGCGGCCAATATCCGTCTGTTATTCCAATTTGAATTTATAAATGCAATGTAAAGAAAATATAAGATTATAATTTATTCAAGTTATAAGGGAATGTAAAATGATTATAAATATCCATCTTTATTAATCGTATTTCAATGTACATATACAGAAGACTTTTGGCCGCACATTCGTTTTGTCTCTGTCGCACCATTCAGCCATTTTCAGCTTACGAATAGCAAAGAAACACTCAGTCCACTCTCTATGTCTATGGTTTACACAACTATTTTACTTTCTTCTGCTAAACTAGGACATTAATTTCTATTTTTAAGTGGTTTATAAATTAAAACCTTCCCAGGGTCTCAAACTATCTTTTTACCAAATTTCATCTAAATCCCAGTCACAAACTCACAACCTCTTTATAATGTTAGTATAGATGAAGTACAAACTAGCTACTGCATTCAAAACACAATAAGTGTTCATAGAAATCCTACTGAAATTTTAAATGCGAAAGCTTGTGAGGATGTATAAATGTATGGTTGAAGATTATGTATGTATGGTTGGTTCTTTCACGCAAAAACTGCTGAATGGATATTAATGAGACTTTATAATTATATAGCTCATACATCAAAATAACGTATAGGCTAATTTTTATCCCGGAAAAATGTACGGTTCCCGTGGGATTTCGTCTTTGTTTTTCTAGAGGCGAATCTAAGCAAAGGAAATGAATGTGCTTGCGACTTCGATTGTTAAAATATCTTTTCCTTCTGTTCTTTCATTCAGATGTCGAGCAGCGCCATCTATTAGTGAGTTTAGATCTGAATTAAATAGGTTGTCGTTTTTTGTGTAAGCCTGGGATTTCATTAGGAACAAAGAAAAAATAATTCAAATAAATATCAATAGATGGCGTATAAATAAATGTATTTATTGAATTGTTATTAAAGTTTGTAAGAAATTAAATCGATGCTATAAATCTTTATTACTGTGTTAAAAAATATTTTAAGTCATTCAATTTTACTAATTATTTAATAATAATCATCGGTTCATTGCCTCGGTACTCTAGTGGCTAGCATGTACGACTGCAGATCTGGAGGTCCTGTGTTGAAGTTCCGGGTCGGACCAACTTTAGTTTTTAAGTCCTTCTGTTAAAAAAATCTTAGAGGTATTTTGGCGGCTTTCCACCTTTGTACCGAGGCAGAGTAGCACTTGTCACTTCGGTCTTGCGCCTTAACAGTCACCGCAAGTGTCGAAGTATCGTCCCATCGGACGAGAATGACAGGAGTAGAGAGTGCACGTTGTGTCTGCACTATAATAGCTCCTGCAGTTTGTTAGTCCCATTTCTCAGGGATGAGATATTTTCCCGCAGTAAAAAGTATCCTGTATGTTGACCCGGATAACCAGCTATCATCATACCAAATTTTATCAAAATCTGTCCAGTGGTTTTTCGTGGTGCGTTCCCAGACAGACTGACAAAAATCCAAAAGATAGCTTTTGGATTTTTGTCAGTCTATAGAGATTCGGCCTGCGATAAAAATTCTATTACAATAAGATTTTCCAAAAAATATTTAATGTACAGATTCGACTCAGAATTTTTATATATATATAGATCCGTATCTGTTGCTAGAATTAATTTCAATGAAACTTTTATTTCTCGTTTGAAAATCTCTAAATATTTAATTTATTAGAAACGATTATTTGATTTCTCATAGTAAATAGTAAATTTTGATGCTGTTTTACCATATTAATAGGTATGATACATAGCCGTATTTGGACTTAGATTCTTGCGTAGAAAAGTATAATGGTTGGTGGAAAAAAAACAACACAATATAATATGTAAAGTACCTCCGTTTTATTTAAACCTAATTTTACATTACAATATCAATACATAAAATATTGACTAAATACTTATTTTTACAACGGTATGTCAGTTTTTTTTATAAAAAAAACACTTAATTTAAAAACTAGTCCAATCAAATTAGAGAGTCGACCGTTTTGGTGCATACCATCAAAACGGTCAAAAATCTAATCATTTATATTAATAAATATAAAAAAAACGTACAATATAGGTAGAATTCGAAAAAACATGGCAGTTTGAAAAAAAATACTATGTAAATTTATACATATATAGAATAATAAGCATGGGCGGCGGCAGAATTATTTCCAGGGGGGTGAATCTGCTTCATCACATTTAACTACTAACTAATCTTTTAATTCTCTTTATTACACGTATTCATATCTTATTTATCGTATTTTCTTTGAAGATGTCTTTTAAACAGGGATTTTAATCATATAATTTTATTTATTGGACTTTATATAGTTTCCTTCATGATAGGGGTGTGAGTGCACCCTCTTGTTCCTCCCTCCCGGCGCCCATGAAAATAACCATAATATTTAATATATCCTACCTATGTACATTGATTTTTAAATAAAAAGTATCTTTTGCCATCGTGATGTTATTTTCGGGTTTCTAGGAACTGCTGATATATTTTTCTGTTCATCAAAACTTTTTATATATGTATTTTTTTTAATACAGATTATTATGGCACTAGCACTTTTGTGGTTCCAAAAATTTACCCGAATTTACTTCTTGCCTTCTAAGCACTTGCAATTTGCTGTGTGCTCATGTTTACTTATTAAGTCCGAAAATGAGGGGTTAAAAGAAACGCCAGGGGCTACGTATTGAGGGTTGGTGCCACTTCCAGAAGTTTCGTATCTAATTATTTGTGGTTTAGTCGTATATGTCACTATTTTCGGTTCTGTCGTGTATGTAATGATTTTTGGTTTGGTTGTGTAAGTAAAGATTTTTGGTTTGGTTGTGTAAGTAAAGATTTCAGGTTTGGTTGTATACGTAACGATTTCGGGTTTCGTTGTGTATGTTACGATTTCGGGTTTCGTTGTATAAGTTACTATTTTCGGTTCGGTTTGGAAATATTTCTTTTCGGAATATGTTGCGCTGAAACCGTTGGTAATAGGCTTGATGTCGCCAAAGCCGAAACCAGATTGAGAGTTCGTACTGGAAACTTTTCCGCTGAATTTGTTGAATCCACCACCATACTGTCCTTGGCTTACTAAACTTTGAGTCTGTCCAAATCCAAGCTGTCCTTTTCCATTTACACCAAAACCTTTCACGCCGCCAACAGCTGTTCCTGAGCCAGACCCAACTGAACCCTTCACGGTATTAAATTGGTTTCCTTTAACTCCAAAACCTTTGACTCCATTAACTTGGCTAGTGACCTGACTGGTCACTTTGGTGATAGTGCTGAATTGTGCAAATCGTATGCTTTCGATTAAACCGATGGCCCATTGATACCATTCAAGATCGAATTTGTAGAAGCCAGCAAGTTGATTGCCAGTTTGACAACCTGTAATGTAAAAAACAAAGACTCGTTTTAATTACTTAAAGAAGGTTAAGTGTATAAAAAAGAGAGTTAATTTGAATGATTTATTTGAATAGTAGTTCTAAACATTTACATTTGCTTTGTGCGGTAATCGAACTTACGATTTTGTAGAATAGGTTATTTTGATTGAGAAGAACATATAACCAAATTATATTTGAATGATCAAGTGGGGTTCTCCGATAAGCAACAGTTTTTAATTCTGGAGGATTCTGACGATCGAAATTTAAAATTCTAAAGAATTTACTAATTATATTTTTTTTAGAAAATTAAGTATTGAAATTATTATTACTAAACTCAGATGGTACTTGGGATATTCATGATGAAGAAGTTAATTTCAAATTAAAACGTAGAATTTACCTGAATCCCAAGAGTAGACTCCTCTAAGTACATAATGTCCATCTCCGGAAGTACACGCGAGGGCACTACCGATGTCCACCTGCAAGTATACAAACATGTTATAAGTTTTTTTGGGTGTAGTTCTTGGTGTAAGTAACAATTTTATGTCAGCAGTCATAGGTTGGTAGTAGTAGCTCAGTGGTACCGAGCTCGTTTGGGAAAGCGAGTGAAGCGGGTTCAAATCTCGGTTCCCGCACCTCAGATATTTTCATGTGCGATTTATTTCCAACATATTACCACTTGTCTTACGGTGAAGGAAAACATCGTCAAACATGCATGTTTGAGAGAACCTAGCAAGTTTTTGAAAGACATATGGAGTCCACCTCGCATTTTGCGAGCGCGGTAGATTATGGCTTGATCCCTCTCGTATTGAATAGAGGCCTGTGCCCAGCAGCGGGACGTTAAAAAGGATTGAATACTTCATAGATTCAGTTCAGTTTTTTTTTATTAAATTAAATATCAGTATGTAAGTCCATGAGGCACTCTAAAGGCAGCCGTGCTTAAAAGATTGTTGCTCTTTTAAATGTAATATTTGACAATATTGCAATATAATAATTGTAGGCTAGTATCAATTTATAAAATATATCGTAAATAATCAGCTATGATCATACCAAATTTCATCAAAATCCGTCCAGTAGTTTTTCTGTGATGCGGTAACAGACAGACAGCCAGACAGACAAAAATTCTAAAAACTATAGTTTCGGCCTTTGTTTCGATAATAATGTCTATTTCAATAAGATTTTCCAAAAAATATTTAATGTACAGATTTGACTCAGTAAGAATTTTATTATATGTATAGATATATAAAATATTTGTCTGAGTGTACGTGAATAGGTATAAATCTATATCGTTGTATAGTTCTCTAAATATTCAACAAAAATATGAGAGATGCACCGAACATTTTTTGGTCTTAAAAGGCCAAAGTTTTTTTTACATATAACAAACACCAAGGAAAATATTATAAAATAACTATATAATGTGAACGTCGTTTAAATAATATGGAAAAAAATCGAGGACAAGCTAAATTTCAAGCAATTTAAACTATAACTTGCCAAATTTCTCACTTGTGTACAAACAAATGTTCTTTAGTAACCTTACGCGTTTTAGTGTGATATTTATTTTTTGTCAATGATCTTGAGGGTCAGTCTTTATGTACTCTGTTCGAGTTTAATATTTATATTTTCTTACTAAATATTATTAATTTTGACACTATCTGACTATTATTATAAATTTGTCTGTGAAAGTTTGTATGTGTGTATGTTTGTTACTCTTTCACGCTAAAACGGCTTAACAGATTTGGATGAAATTTAAGTACACAGATAGACTTGACCTGAAGTAACACATCGTCTACTTTTAAGCATTCAAACGAAGCGAGTTTAAATCGCTTAAATACTAATATTATAAAGTTTGTGAGTTTGTGACGTTGTAGGCGGTAATCTTTGGGTTTACTGAACTTGGTAAGAAGATATTTTGAGACCCTGGGAAGGACATAGGATGATGTTTATATTTTTATCCCGCAAATCATCTCTTAAGGGGGTGAAAATGGGTATGACAGTGTGTATGGGGAATCAAGCTAGCTAGTCATTTATAATTCGGTATTTTGAACAACGTTTACATCTCAAAACAGTCAAAATGGACATGAAAAACCAACAAACCTTGCAAATATTATCATCTGGGTTTTTGGGCTGTCCACAAGCGCAACTGTCTTCATCGTATTGCTCAAAGAGATGAGGGTAGTCTGATGAGATCTTGGCTTGGCACTCTTGAGGCGGGATCAGAGATACGTTGACACTGTGCATGATCGCGCCTTCGAGGTGAGCTGAAAGATAGGAAAATAGTTTTTAGTTAGTTTTTTGGGTGAAAACTTTTATATGCAGGTTTGGGTGCGGAGTAAATTCATGTAAGTCTTCATCGACATGGTCACGTGACGTGTTAACGCTAACACTCGAGAGTGCCGATAGATGTCAAAACCAGATAAATGTAATTTACAAATCTTAACTTAAGATCTAACAATTAATTTGAATATCCAAAAATAACAACTGTTTGTTTATTTCTAATATGTATGTATTTAAAGTTATATATGTGTAGTGTATCAACTATCTGGTATCCATAACACAAGCCTCGTAGCTTACCATGGAACTAGATGGTGCTGTGTGTTAATGAAAAAAATAAATAATATAGTTTTAAGTTTTCACTTCTGTCGGCAGTCCTTATGACAGCTTTTTTTTTGTTAGCTCAAATAACATAGTTTTTGGGCTTGTATTCATTCAAATAAAAATTATAAACTATGAAATGAATGAAATATTATGAAAATCACAAAAAAAAATCGACCAAAAAAAGTTCTTCTTCGTTCTACACACATTAAAAAAAACATTAAAATATTATATTTTTACATAAGTCTATTATTGCAAAAAAAAAACACTTCTCAGTTACACGTATGGAGGGACATCCCTATTTTTTTCATATCAAGTTTGATTTCTGAAGTAATATTTTTAAATAACGTTTGACATTTCAAATAAATCTATCTTTTTGGATCATTTAGCAGATTTATTTAGATTTTTGGTTCCTGACGTTTCGAATGCTTTACAGCAATCATTGTCACGGGAGAGATTATAGTTTTCCTATAATTGAAGATCAAAAATGCCGTTTGACCTCATAGTAGACGCTCCTATTTAATGTTTATGAAATAAAACCATAAACATTAAACGCAATTAATGTAATAAATGAAGACATTTGCCGATTGCTGCATTGATTAATGATACTTTAGTTAAATTTGACGGCGTTTACTTAACCATTAATTCATTTTAACTACTTATCTAATTTAATGTTTGACCACGTTTGACTCGGTTTGTAGTGCTGTGCCACCGGTCACGGGTTCTAGTCCCGCTGGTTATTCATTTGTGTGATGAGCATGAATGTTTTATATGGAGTTACATGGTGTTAAATCATTAAGAAGTAGATGAAAAAAAAACCATAAAATATACGTATCGAACGTATGTTTTGTGTTTTTTTTATTAAAAAAACATAATTTAAATTAAATATGTTGGGACATCCACACACAGCACCATCTAGTTCCATGGTAAGCTACGAGGCTTGTGTTATGGATACCAGATAGTTGATACACTACACATATATAACTTTAAATACATACATATTATAAATATAAACACCCATGACTGGAGTACAAACATTCGTGCTTATCACACAAATGAATGCCCCCAGCTGGACTCGAACCCACGATCACTAGCTCAACAAGTAGAGTCACTACAAAATGTGCCAAGCGTGTCGTCAAAACATGCTAATGTTATGTTGATGTAAAATAACCTTTTGTTATTTAACTTAAGTACGTGAGGTGGTCACAAAAATTGCAAATGTCGGCTTCATACTCGTATAAGTTCAAATCAAGTCTTAAGTTAAAGCTAATATACATACAAATGAAATGGAAAAACCGCGTCTGTCTGGTATAGTTTAAAAATAGCTGTACTGATTTTGACAAAATTTTCATAAAAAAAGGTGATATATTTTATATTAAATACAATATTATAAATGTAAAAGTACCTTTTCACTCTTTAACTGCTAAACAAATTTTGATAAAATTTGGAACATAGTAATTTGTGATAAACCACATATTTCAATCGTTGACGATCTATAATCTATACATATAATAAAATTCTAACTAAGTCAAATCTGTACATTAAATATTTATTGGGAAATCTAATTGAAATAGACATTATTATCGATACAGAGTCCGAATCTATAGTTTTTAGAATTTTTGTCTGTCTGTCTTTCTGTTACCGCATCACGAGAAAACCCCAGGACAGATTTTGATGAAATTTGGTATGATGATAGCTGGTTGTTCGGGTCAACATATAGGATACTTTTTATCGCGGGAAAATATCTCATTTCTGAGAAAAAATACAAAAACACAAAAACTACATTGTAAGATTATACTAATATGTAAAACCTAAGAATTAGGTTTTTGGTCACCTGAACGCGGGCGGAGCCGCGGGCAATGCTAGTTGTAATTATATTATTAATATTATTATTAGCCAGAAAATTCCCAAAAACTTTTTTCCCAAACAATATTTAATATTAATTCGACCTTTATTCGTACTTCACACAAGATTGGCCAATTGACAAATATTTTATTACTAATTAAAATATTTAATTAATAAGATGACAGCTCTAATAATTTCGAAATTATAAGATTGGGTATAACTGGCAACCTTGGGTGGGAAATATGCAAAACAGTATCATATTACATCGGTGTTACCAGTTTTTTTTACAAATATTACCAGATTCGGATCGAAAATGTACACACGTTTCTTTATTATGATCTTCAAGATAAAATGTTATCAAAATACCTTGTTATAATTAAAAAATATTTTTTTTAAACGAATTTGCGAACTGATCAAATAATTCGAATTAAATTATTCATCGAACTTTAGTTTTGAGAATGAAAAAGCGATAGAAGCAAACGCTAAAAATGGTAATTCCTGCCATTAGCAAGTCATATGTGTTTGTACAGTGACTGCTCAGACTAAATAATTATATAGACTGGGCTCACAAAACAAATGTCTAAGTCAAAAATATTAGCGTGATTTGCTATTTATGCTACCATTGTCGATGTTGCCATATACATCGTTTACATTTTTTTTTTAAAAGGTATATTTTATGTGTTTTACGATTTCTGAGTTTTTTTTTCGTGTTTTTTAAGCATTAGTTCTCTTCTCCTTAAAGAAGCGATATAAGGAGAGCATATAAATATTTGCTTATTTTTTTAAATTTATTATAATAAAATTCGTTAACTATTTTTATTTATTAACATTTATTTACTCATCACAAATGAGTATTCTGTTAATATTTGAATTCTGTTTTAAAACATTATACATATTCGTATATTATTTAAAAACATTATTTCTAGGCTTCATATTTAGTTCTATGATAATAATAATAAAAAATATTAAATATGTTGTGATATGAACACACAGCACCATCTAGTTCCATGGTAAGCTACGAGGCTAGTGTTATGGGTACCAAAGAGTTGATACACTACACATATATAACTTTAAATACATACATATTATAAATATGAACACCCATGACTGTAGTACAAACATTCGTGCTCACCACACAAATTATTTATGATTATGTTTACCTACTTTATACAAGTTTCTAAGCATTTTAAAATTATTTTCAATTCAATTTAACTTTATTGACACTTAACATTAGAATTGCAAGCCAAAATTCTTAATTCGCAGATTTTATGATAGAAATAACCTATTTGAATCTGTTAGAGGCTTTGATATTTTTGTCTACTTGATTATCTATACTAACAAATGGAGAGCCGATGTTCGGTTATACTGCGATAATTACTGAACCGATCGGAATAATACTCATACCATAAGATGCAGCGTGTTTCGGAGAAGGTTTTAATATATGATACTATGCAGGCGGAGCCGCAGGAAAACGCTAGTTTAATATATAAATAAATTAGGTATGTTTAGTTCAGATTTCATTGGTTTTTTAGTTAAGCACATACAAACAGACAAAATTACTAAAATTTTAAAATTTGTATTTTATGTACATACTAGCGACTCATCCTGTATTTTTGTGTGATGTGGTAACAGACAGACAGACAAATAGACAGACAAAAATTCTAAAAACTATAGATTCGGCCTCTGTATCGATAATAATGTCTATTTCAATAACATATTCCAAAAAATATTTAATGTACAGATTCGACTTGATTACAATCTTATTATATGTATAGATTTAATTCACTTGGAGCTCATTGTCAATATATTACATAATACGTTGATATATATTTAGAAGATGTGTAATATTCTAACGCGCTAGACATCTTCATGAAGTATGTGTTGAATATTAATGACCATTCCAAATCTGCTAGCACGTTTTTACGATTAAGAGTTTCTGGGTTCGATTCCTGCGTCATTCAAAAATATCAATAGACTAAGAAATACTCAGTAAAATACATCAAGTTAGGAAGAGAGAAGGAAGTTTGATAACATCTGCATCCAAATAGCGAAATTCATCGATTTTATGCTGATTTTTTTATGAAAATTTTGTCAAAATCAATACAACTATTTTTAAACTATAATACCAGATAGATGCGGTTTTTTCTATTTCATTTGTATGTATAGTAGCTTTAATTTAGACTTGATTTGAACGTAAATGAAGGCAAAACCATCAAAAGCGGTTGAGGGTTTGAGAAACAATATGTTTGCGAATCCCTTTCATCAGCCCTTTTTAACGTCCTACTGCCAGGCGCGGGCCTCCCTTCAATACGAGGGGGTCATAGTCCACCACGCTGGCCGAGTGCGGGTTGGCGGATTTCACATGTCTTTCGAAAACTTGCTAGGTTCTCTCAGATATGTAGGTTTCCTCACGATGTTTTCTTTCACTGTAAGTCAAGTGGTAATCCCGTTAGAAATGATTCGCACATGAAAATATCAGAAGTGCGAGACCCGGGATTTGAACCCACTTCACTCGGTTTCCCAAGCGAGCACGTTACCACTGGGCTACCACTGCCTTTTTTATCAAGTATAGCTCCAGAATATTAAATAAGCAACGCCAGGCCAAATAACTTGTAAGATATTCACATCTCACTATCAATATAAAGTTTACATAAATATCGCGTTACGCAACGGTCCGCGATGAGAGGACCAGTTTGTAGCGTCAGCATGCAAATGTTTAAGCCAACATATTTTAAAGATATTTTTTAATAGATTTTTTTTAAAACAATCCCGATAGTTAGACAATTACTAGCTTTTATATAACATAATATGATTAAAAAAA